TTAATTTCCTAACTTCCTGTTCTGTTCTGAGCGTTATCATTGGTGGATTATTTTTGTTAGCCAATTGCAACGCACAGAACAGAACAGGAAGTTAGGAACTTGTAACAGGAAGTTAAGAACTTCTAACAGGAACTGAGGAAAATTTATTTTGCTCTTACAGGTAAACTACGTGAAGCGTTCCTCTTTTGAGTTTCTAAATTGATTGCAATTTTCCATATTACTTTTGCAATTTAAAAAACTCCCTTGCAAATCCCTTGAGGAAATTTGCAATGTTGCTAAAAGCCAATTGTTCTGGGCGTTGCAATTGGCTAACAAAAATAATCGACCAATAACAACGCTCATAACAGAACAGGAAGTTATGAAATTAAAACAGGAAGTTAGAAAAATTTAAATCGAAGTTTGTTTGTATTGGAATATTGCAACAGTCGATAGGAACATTGCAAATTCCCTCAAGGGATTTGCAAAGAGTTTTTCAAATTTGCAAAGCTAATGAAGAAAATTCCAAATGAGTTACGAAGTCAAAAGAGGAACGCTTCACGTAGTTTACCTGTAAGAACATTGCAAATTCCCTGAAGGGATTTGCAAGGAGTTTTTCAAATTTGCTAAGGTAACGACGAAAATTGCAATCAACTTAGGAACTCAAAAGAGGAACGCTTCACGTAGTTTACCTGTAATACTTCCGTAGTACGCCAAAAAGTTGACTTGCGACGAACTTTTCATTTTGATACGCGAATACACTTCCCGGAAGTACGTGGATTTATAAACCTCTTTTCAATCTGCGCATGCTCACCAGTCTGTTTCGGTACGGTATGGTTGAAGTGGAAAACTGGCTTAATATGTATAAATTAACATGATTTTTTATCACATCTAAAACCACCGACACAGTAGCAGAGTAGCTAGTGATTTTGTTTGTATTTTCCTCGTGAATTATTACTTAACTTTGCGTAATCACTTCCCAACAATCCATGCACCCAAAAGGTCTTGCTCCCATGCATATTGTTTTCGAATTTTCCACATGCCTAGTGGTAACATAAACTTGTAACGCGATTTTGTTGCTTGTCACAGCGAATCCAAGAAAATTAATGTTTTGTGTTCTTTCTCTTGCTTTTATGCTTTTTGAGCAGTATTCTCAGGGTTCATATGACGTCACGTGTGGGTCAATTAGACAGATTTGTCTAATAAACAGATTTAGATCGAGGACGCGGACGTCAAAGACGACGTGAAAATGGCGTAAAAATGGCGTGTGATATCCATACATGGGCACAACACGCCATTTTCACGTCGTCTTTGACGTCCTCGATCTAAATCTGTCTAATGGTATTAAAGGACGGCTTTTATATTGTTTTATATTGACAATTTGAGAAGTTATTTACATCATATTTTTTATGTGTGTTATAGGTGAATATAATGTTTTTTTATGTTACTCTGAGTGTGCATCCACACCGGGCATGCTGAAAAGTTTGCCTGACCACGGTGGGAATCGAACCCGCGACCTTTGAGATACTAGTCCAATGCTCTGCCAACTGAGCTACGAACCTCAGTTAAATCATAAGAACACATTGGTATCGAAGGAACTAGACTTTGTTCCGAAATATCACCAACCTCGAACCGACTTGACCTCGTAGCTCAGTTGGCAGAGCATTGGACTAGTATCCCAAAGGTCGCGGGTTCGATTCCCACCGTGGTCAGGCAAACTTTTAATTCAGCTTGCCCGGTGTGGATACACACTCAGAGTAACATCAAAAACATCATTAACATAAGATGCGTTGACATTTTGTTCCTTTATTGTTTTAGTTGCCCTCAGTTCAATGATTGACCCCCATTTGAATCAAATTATGCTAATTTTCACGTGATTGAAATCCAATAATATGCTATAGCTAATCAAATAACAAAGTACCTTTAAAATACAATTTTTGTTGGTCAAAATGTCCGTGCAAGAATAAAATTTATCGGCCATTTAGTGCCTCTGTTCGGCCAATAGCCAATGCACGCATATTGGCTTTCGCCAATTGCTTCCAACCAGTCAAATTTCATAATGCACAAGCGTTTGTAAAGCTATAATAGTTTTAAGTTTATTTTTGCTTATTTTTCCGTAGTGTAGACAAGCAGCATCTGACTCATCCACTGTTTGCAGGAGCCATATGAGAAACAGTGTGAAGTTATTGATTGGCTTAGCTATGCCTGGACTGGCTTTAGCCGCAATATGGCTGTGGACTTCACGTCGGGCACGTCAGCAGGAGAGTAGCCATGGCAACGACCCTAAAATGTCACTAAGAAGCGTGGCTGAAGAAATGAAAAATATTACCCACAAGCGACGCACCAACAATGGCGCAGCCAAAATTTTACACTGTACTGAAACTGACCGTTGTACTGAACGTAACTGTGGCGAAGTGAAAAATAATAGCGAACAAGATAGTTCATTATCAAAGGAAGGATCAGATAAGAATACAAGTATGAATACAAAGTTAGAAAATCTTGACATTCAAAATGGCATGAGCTTAACGCAAGAAGATTCGACTTGCGCAGACGGGCTGCTTGAATCTAGTAACGTGAGTAATATAGAAAGCTCTGAATTCTCTAGAGATAGTCAAACTGGGAATCCTGATCAAACAGTGAATTCCACTGAAGACTGTGCTGAGATGAGTAATCGTTCAAACAGCTATATTGAAAACGGGTCCTTTCAAGAATCTGAAAAGACAAGTGAGCAAAACGACAGGCGTACAGTGAGTCCTGAAGCTAGCAATCTACAATTCGATCAGTCGAAAACCGTGAATATTGAAGGTGATACTGAATGTTCTAGCTCAAAAGGTGTGAACGTACAATCTGATGTATCGGCTAGCCAAAAAACCGAAAATATATCAAAAGTCGACACGAAGGCTCCAACTGCTCGGGCCCAGTCCCTTGATGAATCCTCGGACATAAGTAGCATCGATAGCAAGGCCGAGTCACCGGTGGACCTGAAATTGAGTTCAACCGCGGGCTCGGATTCTGAGCCCGCGCAACCGGAAGGCGACGACGCCGCTGAGGAGATCACGTGGGAATTAGAATTTCCGCAAGCGCTTTGCGGACGACTCATTGGCAAGAAGGGGAAAAATGTGCAAAAAATTTCTCAAATTACCGGGACAAAAATTCGCCTGATCCCTCAGAAAGAAAATACTGAATCTTCGCAAAGGCTTGTTGCCGTAACCGGCTCTCCCAAACAGCTCAAACTGGCCTTAAAAGCGTTACGGGAGAAATTCCCGAGCGTACCTTTCACGAGATTGAACGGGACCCAACCATTCGTGGATGCTAACCATAGTAGCCCCACACCAAATATAGTGTGCGTTGCTCTGCCGGAAAACGAACTCTGTCAGGTTTTTGTGACAAATATTGTTGATGCAAACCACTTCTATGTACAGCTCTGCGATCATTCTATTCATAACCACCTCAGGCAACTTGATCAGGAGATGTATCAATATTACAGTAGTGTAGGTGGAACGATGGTACCACAGACGATCAATACCGGCATGCTTTGTGCGGCGCCAAGTCCCACCGGTTGTTGGTGGCGGGCTCAAGTCGTCGGGTTACTAATGAAACCGGATGAGGTCGAGATCACGTGGTTAGATTATGGTGGACGCACGACAGTCCCTACTGCAATGCTGAGACAACTAAGGTATGTAAAATAAAAGATTCCAGTCTATGATCGTATTCTTCAGTAAGTTGCCGTGGTTTGTGACTGAACTACCTGAAAAAGATATCTCAAACGTGGTGGTCCAGTGTAGGTAGTATTCTACAATAAACTACCGTGGTTTGTGTTTGAATTACCTGAAAAAGATATCTCAAACATGGTGGTTCAGTGTAGGTAGTATTCTACAATAAGCTGTCGTGATTTATGTCTGAACTACCTGAGAAAGATATCTCAAACGTGGTGGTCCAGTGTAGGTAGTATTCTACAATAAACTGATATCTCAAACATTTGTTATGTCTGATCGCGAAGCACAGCTATGGGGAAAGATCAGTTAGGGGATAACCCCAACCCACCCTGTAAACATTCCCTATGGGAGGAATCCGAAGTACCCGGAGAAAACCCACGATTTTCGGTAGAGCGTTGACTGACTCTTTTCACATACGTGTCATGAGTCAGCATCGAGAATCGACCCCAGCATCTCAGAGGTGAAAGGCACTTTGCTGTAGCTGGGTAGTACCGAAATTTCTTCACCTGAATGTGTTTTTAAGTAGTTCTGACATCAACTACGTAGGGGTGGAAAAAGTATCGGACCACGGGACCATTGGTCCCAGAAAATTTTTTAAGCTTCCAGAAAATATTTCCCAAGAAAGAAAACAATTGTCATAATTTAGATAATAGGAGAAATTCAGAGGAAAACCATGACCTCAGAAATGCAATTATAAGTGCATCCATTTTAATAGTGCAATTGTGTATAAATGTACTAGACTATAGACTATATGGAATGATATGGAATGATGTAGCAAATGTTGTGTGGCAAATGCATTTTTAGCCAATCTGGGACACCTGATTTTCAAAATTTTCTGGGGGAGCATGGATCCCCCTACTAGTGGCCTCCTTTGGCATCTGTATTTACCTTAGGATCAGACCCTTAATGCATGTTATCTATAAACTAGTTTTAAGCTATTTTTTACGATTCTCAGTGGACTGAAATATTGTATGACATCCAGTTGTAAAATATAGCATGACATCCAATTTAACAACTTGTTAGCATCACACAGTTACAGTATCGAGTGTCAATTTACTTGATTATTTGTAGAAAATTTTCAATGTTCTCTTGCGGTCCCAGAAAGTAAAATATTTTTTCCACCCCTGCAACTACGTTTGTTGCGTTGGCAGAGGAGTAATGTAACGATATTTTGTGCTTTTGTTGTTCATTACGGTTTTACCTTAGTTAGGAAACAATTGGTTAAGGTAATTGGAGTTTTTTTCTTTTTAAAGGTCCGATTTTTTGCAGTTGGCGTTCCAAACTGTTGAATGTTACCTGAGTAATGTTATCCCAAACCACGGTACGAGCAAACGTTTTTTTTTGTCTAAATATGCATGGAAAATTTCAATTTTTGAAGTGATATGAGCATGGAACATTTAGCGATTTGTTCGTTGGTCAAACAGAAAAATGTACGGTATGCCTCATCATACCATACCATATACCATGCTATTTCATGCTGTGCCATACCATACAATACAATGCCATTCCATACACACACGTCATACAATGCAATGCAATACCATACCATATCACACCATACCACACCATACCATACCATACCACACTATACCATACCATCCCATACCATACTCTATCATACCATACCATACCACACCACACCATACCATACCACACCATGTCATACCATACTCTATCATACCATACCATACATACCATACCACACCACACCAAACCATACCATACTCTATCATACCATACCATACCATACCACACCATACCGTACCATACCATACCATACCATACCACATCATACCGTACCGTACCATACCATACCATACCATACCATACCATACCACAACCAAACCAAATCAAACCAAAACGATGGTGAAAGGTAAAACGAGCATAGTCATAGAACATTTCACGGTTTGTTCTTTTGCACATAGAGAAACCATGCATGCATCTACTTTTTCTCTTCCAGGAGAAACAAAGTTTTCCATGGCCGCTTGTGCATTGTTTGAACAATTAACACAGAACGTAATTCTTACTGCAAGAATCACTGGTTATACCCGGGATTGTCCCAATTTGGAGCTCTACGTACATGACCAATGGACTGGACAGGTACGTTTCGTGGGGTCGGTTGTATCCACCGGGTAGCGATTTTTTCAATCTTCCTAAAATAACCCGTTGATTGGTATAACCCTGATTAAGTTTTGGTATTTATAAATTGAAGTTTCTTATACTAATCTACTGTTATATTCTCGCGCCTTCGTCGCATGGAAGAAGGGGGCTTCCAGTTCGACAAAACACCACAGATTTTTTGGGGTACTCTGGTTCCCTCCTGTAGTGACACTTGAACAACGGGACTTTAAGCGGCTGTGGTGAAAATGTATGTGACTTCCCTCATTTCAGAAATATGTTACTAAGTCCGCCCATGAAACTACAGCATACTGCCTTTTTTGAAGTAGCCAAATGCTGCAAAACCGTGGCTACCAGGTATGCCGAAAACAGGGGCCAGTGCCGGCGCCAGGCTTCCAAATTTGGGGGGGCATTTGAGGGGCAAACTCAAATTTTTGGGGGGGGCAAGATAGAATTTTTAAAAAGGTCGCCCCCCCCCCCCAGGAAATTCGCCCCCCCCCTCAAAACGTGGCGAATATCCTAGGAATATCGCCGCCTCCCAGGGGGTGGGGAGAATACCCTAGGAATATCGCCCCTCTTTAGGACATTCGCTTCCCATATATGCGATGTGGTTTATTCAAATAATTTCGTGATACTTTCATCTTATTATTGCCTTACACGTTTGAGAATTTAACTCTGCAAAACTAAAGC